TTACCAAATCTGTACAATTATGTGAAGTATCTAGAAGATACAATAGATACAATACAGATGCAAAATTTTGGTAAACAAATAGAAAAGAACATTTTTTAAAATAAACTCTTTGGTTTCGGGACCCTTTTAAAAAATTTACAACTATAATATAATTACTTTCATAAACTTTCTCATTCAGATTAGATGTTCTATATATCTATAGAAATTTTACATTATATGTATATTACCTTATTTTAGAGATATTTTAAGCAGATAATTCAAAGAAAAAATAATGAACATTTGGTCTCTCTTATAATAAATGTGTAATTTATCAAATGAATAGTACCTCTAACCTTATACTCTTTACGTAAATAAAGCTTATGAAAGGCACATAAAAGAATACTTTTCCAACTTATTCAGGTGACCAGTAAAGCAACTGTTGGATTCACCAATTTACTGCCACAATCAGTAACCTATATAATTCCTCTGGAGATATGGAGGTCTTTTCTTTTTTGACTCATTTTAGTTATAACTCCCCTGCCCAAAAGATGGAAAATCACTTTTAATTCTCTCAAAACCATACCTTCCAGATCCTAACATATTAAAAACATGTATACATATCTACACAGAATGGCTTACATGACAGGATTAATACTTTCCAAAAAAGCAAAACAACAATTAACAGAATTTTCCATGTTGAAAGCCCATTTTCCCATTTGAAGTCTGCACCCTAAACTGCCATATGCTTTTCCTTCCACTGATGCCTATGGGGCAGGCCTCCTGCCAATATCCTACGTGAGCCACTGTAAAAAGTGCTGGAGGCCAGGGACAGACAGGATACCTCACCTGTGTGCGGCCTGGTCACGGCACTCTCGTACAGGGGGATGCCTTCACCCACGTTGTTGAACGCTTTCAGGGTTATCACGTAGTGAGAGCTGGGATCTGAAGGAAAGAAACAAGTGAAAATACTGTGAAAAAAATCCTCACTACAGAATTTTAAAATTTCAAGGGTGACTTTGCATAATCTTAACTGCAGAGGAATTAAAGGAAAACAACTGTACAATTTTTCATGTGGAATGATTTTGGGGTGTGGGGAGATGTGAACACGGAAGCACACACAGTCCAGAAAAATTGGCCGGGATCAAGTTCCTGGGTCTAGTCTCAGTAGTGGAGGTTGACTGTGCTTGAATTCTCTCTCGGCCTCGGCTACGGTCCTGTGATGTTCACTGTATGGTGGAGGCTTGGAAGAGAATGAGTAAATAAGATTCTCATATGCTGGAAGCCTACAGGTGGAGCCTGAAATTAAACCAACCCCTTTCCTTCCCTGAAGAAGGACAATGATCAGAACAACAGAGAGGTAGAGACGTAGGAGATAAAACTTTTAACCTCAGCAAGTCCTGAATGTCCTCAACTCTTCAGGGGGCCTCCAAACCCAGCACCCGCGGAACCTCACCTCGCCAGCATGCAAACTTCTTGGCTGGAATAAGACATGGCCCAGGATTTAACTGGCCTGGAGTGATGTTGCAACTGTAACACTGAGAGAAACACGCCCTCTAGGTGATCGTGCAAAATGCTGCCATTAGAGAAAACGGGGGCATTAAACAGGTGACGTGGCATTCACTCTCCTACTAGCCGAGGTAAATCAGGAAGATTCTAATTCATCACGTGCCTGATCCAGGCAAGGTTTAGTACGGGGTACTTCAAAAGTCCAGTTTCAGAAATGAAGACTTGGGTTCCACTGAAGTGTTCCAGGGTGAGGAGCTGACCTATTCCACTCATTTCTGGCAAAGCTGGGCAGTTTTCCAAAGTGGCACACCTCATGTGGCCTGCGTTATTTCAAAAGCCTGAAATAGCTGCTTTGCTTAGTGGCCCACCCACTCTCCAGAGACTAAAGGGCAGTATGTAGAGGCACACAGTCTTCCCGTGCCAAGACGGAACCGACATCAAATGGAATCAGTAAGACACTACTTGACTGACAAGGAAAAAGGCAACACGGTAGACGGTGATGTCCTTCACTGAGACTGGGGACAGAGGCAGAATGATGATGACACACGTTTTCAAGGCTTGATTCCAGGCCCTCTTCTATTCCCACTCTTCACCCTCTCCCTGTGCACTTCATTCCTTTCCTTAGCCTTGATTAGCAAGCATGTGCCGTCAACTGCAAATACAGATCTCCGGTCCACATCTTTCTTCTGAGCACCAGACCTCTATGTGCAACTGTCAGTCTGGCAATTCCCCTTGGATGTCTTAAATCTTTCTCTTTCCCCTGTCTTCACGCTTCAGAACTGCTCCAGTGTTCCCTAGTTCAGTAAATGGCACTACTCCCAAGCAGGGAAGCTGGGAGTCATTAAGACCTCCCTCTCCCTCATCTTTTTTAGGCAAGTGAGTCTTGTCAATGTGACCTACTTGTTGGTCTCTCACCCCCCTTTGCCTGTTCTCTGTGCGCCATCATTACCGGACACCTTTCAGTGCACTGACCACTGTGTTCTCTCTTACCACTGGGCCCTCATATAGGAGCTGCTTCCCATGCTGGGGACACATCCCACCTCTTCTCTTTACCTAGGTAAGTCTGTTTATCTGAAAGGGCTCCTTCCACACTGTACTAACCTCTCTAGTTACATAGCCTATAATGCTCTTCTCTTCCTAACACACTGTGAACAACTTCAGTTGTTTTTAAATCATATTACTGCTAATAATTGTGACCATGTCTGTCTGATTCTCTGCTCCATCTCTGGCACACTGTCTGGGATATTGCAGGGGTTCATTAAATATTTGCTGACTGACTGACAGGTTTTGGGGAGAAGATATTTTAATTTTGGCCAGATGGAATATAAGATGTATCTAGGTGCAGATATCTAGTAGGCAGATGTTCATATGGATCTGAAGCTCAAGGGAGAATCCCAGTTTGATGAATAGATGAATTCCTTTATGTACTTCACCTCTGACTTGCTTCTTTTACTCAACAGTATATGCACCTTAGATCTATCTAGGTTGATAATTATAGGCCAAGCTTAATTTACTTTATGCCAAATCCATTTTTTTTGCTACTTCTCAATATGTGCTCTTTCCTAATAAAAGACTAACTGTTCAGCACATGCAACACTCCTTCTCATCTCTATGTTTCAAACCCTATTCTGATTCAGTCAAGGCCAGGTTAAGTTTCTTCCTTGACTGCTCTACTGTGCCTTGCTAGCTTCCCCTTCTCTGAACATACTTCACTTCAACTCACTTCATTATTTCCTGTGTGTGACTTTTCTTCTATTAGACTGAAAGCACCTGAAGGTCAAGGACCAGGTCCAGCCTACACTGCAAAGGATTTTCACTTTAGCAGTTTCACAAAGGAAACAGTAGGAGGCTGGTCGCCACAGGGACATTTTGATTCTACCAGCAAAGCTTTCTTTTTGCTCTCCAACAATTGCTTTAGGAGATGTTCACGTTGGGGAAGAGTTTCCTAGTGTAACTGTGCTATTTCTTCTTCGAAGGAAAAAGAGAAAGGCTACTTTGTTTCTGAATAAAGATTTAAACTGCCGCTTATTTTCTACCAGAAAGAATGAAGGTAACTCATCTGTTAGGCACTTGAAGTTGTACTTAGAAAGGATGTTTACAAAGAAATGATCTGAATAAAAATTTAGTCAAAGAAAGATCTATACTGCACCCCAGGCTGGGCAACAAGGCAAGAAGATATTGGTCTTCTTCAAAAAAAAAACAAAAACTACAATGATAATCTAATTTGGAAAACTAATTATACCAATCAAAACCAATTCATTCTCTACTATAAAATATTAATATTTCTTGAATTCTTTTGCTTTTAAGATCAACTATGAGGTATAATTAGCATATAATAAAATGTGCCCATTTAAGTGTACATTTTGTTGAGTTTTGACAAATATATATACCTGTATAATCACCACCAAAATCAAGATATAAAATATTTCCAATACTACAAGTAGTTCCCTTGTGGTCAATTCCTACCACCCTCTGGTTCCAGGCAACCAGCGATCTTACTCTGTCACTATAGATAAGTTCTGCCTATTTTGTAATTCATAAAAATGTAAGAACACAGTATGTACTCTCTTGTGTTTGACTTCTTTTGCTCAGCATAATGTTTGTGAGAGTCATTTCTGTTGTTGTATGTATCGATAGCCTATTTTTAAAAATTGTTGAGTAGTACTCTTGATGAAAATTTGTTATTTCCCCTTTTGGGCTATTATAAATAAAGTTACTATGAACATTTGTGTACCAGTTTTTATGCAGACATGTGTTTTTATTTCTCCTGATTAAATATCTGACAGGGATTACTGGGTCATAAGGTTAACGTTGTAAGAAACCTCCAAATTGTTTTCCAAAGTAGTTGTACTATCACATTCCCACCAGCAAGTATGAGAGAGAGCTCCAGTTCTGCATTTTTGTTGATATTTGGTATTATCAGTCTATTAAAGTTTAGCAATTCTATAGAGTGGGTGTGTTATGGCCATTCTCTCTCTATGGGAGCAAAAGAGAAGTTTTCCTTATAGAATGCTAACAAATGCAGAAGAAATACGGAATCAGAAAACTACCATTGGGGAAACACCATAGTAATGACTGTTACTGTAGATGCTAAAACTATCTACATTGAGTGAAAGTTTGATGAGAAACAGGATATTTACAAAGACTCAAGGTATCTCCTAAGGTACACATTAACTGCAAAAGAAAAAATAATTTTATAGTGGGAAAATGTAGCAGATACCATTGTAACCAAGTGATTAAAGTTACAGTCACTAGCAACAGACTATGATGTGCTTCCTGATGTGATACACTGGCAAGAACCCCACACTTCCACACTATTCCTTCCAAACATGCATAACCTGAATGTAATGAGGAAATATTAGACAAGTCTAAATTGAGGGACATTCTACAAAATACAAATGTAAATACAGTTAAATGTTAACCTTTGGGGGATCCAGGTGAAGAATATATAGGAATTCTTTGTACTATTTTTGCAACTTGTCTGTAAAAATAAAATTATTACACAATGAAAACCTGAAAAGAAAGAAATCACATATATAAGCATTTCCTTACTTAGCAAACGTACCCAGATTTTCGATGGTATAATAGCGCTGTTTATAGTCCACTTTGATGGTCTGGGCATGAGGGCTGCCAATGCCATAACCAATGGCATAACCTCTGACCACAATGTTCTGATTCTCTGGAGGAGTCCAGCTCACTACGATGCTCGTGACAAGAGGGCGGACATGAAGAGAACTAGGCACTTCAGGAACACGAGTTTCTGTAAGGAAAGTAGAAAAGCAAGATGAGATCCACTCTCCTTTAGAATATTTCACTATCCTTGGGCAATGGTGTTCAGCCTCCTGCCAAACTATTTGGGGCTAATTTTTTTACATTATGTCCAAGAATTCAAAGAGAACCTATATGTATGTATAGTAAAATATGGCCCATGGTTTTACTTCATTCTAAAAAAAAAAAAAAAAATACCAAAATAGCCTTAAATACAAGACACTGCAGTATTAATTTGTAAGGGAAGACAAAGAGATCCAAGAAGCTCTTCCCAGTGAAAAAAAAACAAATACACTGCCTTTCAATTGCCACTTCTCTTAGTACCACATCCCATTCTTGAACTCTACCAGGCAGAATGAGAAAGACAACACCAGTAGTTAGTAGCCTGTTGTCAACAGGTGATGAAGCATCATGTTACAGCAATGGTACCAATTATTTACTCCCCTCAGTAATATGATAAGTCAGAAAACACGACTTCTTAGAGCCATGATTGATTCAACTGGTGGGAGACTAAGAGGCTTAAAAAGGAGGCAATTTACAGTATCATTCACATACATTGTTTCAGGGCATAAATTGCTATCTTAAAAATTAGTAAACCGAGACTTAGAATAAGAACTCAGTCTTTTGTCTCCCAAGTCCAGCACCTGTTACTGATAAAGGTGCTACCACACACCTCCATATGAAATTACTCATTGAATAAACAGGGAGAAAAAGGACAAAGTATCCAGGACTATGGAAAAAGAGAAACTGCAATTGAAATAGAAGCATAATTTACATGGCTCAGCCTTAAATTTTAGATCATCCCTCTATTTTATGGCCTTGGTAAAAAACAAAAAAAACCAACTTATAGCACCTGCTCATTTTTATTTGACCTGGTTCTGCTTAAAGGGACAGTTCTCCAAAAGGCATCACAAAAAATCCATTCCAGGACCCTTGCTGCATTCCAGGAACGACAGCAGTGCAATCACTGAAGTTGACAAATTTAAGCCATATGCACTCAAAGTCTGTGGCTTTCCAGTTTGACTCATTTGACTATAGTTAGTACCTATCCTGTGCCAGTACTGTCGATTGTTGTTCTTACCATCTAAGTCACTTTCAAAAGTTTCAGCAGACAGCCAGTCAGTTGCCGGGCCTGTGCCATTGATTGTTAGAGCAGCCACTCGGAAATTATATTCAGTTCCCCGATCGAGACCTGAGATCCAAATAACAAAAAAAGACAAGCTGAAACAAGAGCTTTGGAAAAACAAAAGATTAATAATCTCTCATTAAGGCAAATATCTCAGCCACCAACTTGGTTCATAGCTTGATAAAGCTGCGGTTAAGGTTAATACAGAAGAGGAATACATAAACACAACACAGAGTAGCTTCCGTCATTAAAGTAAAGGCTGAAGCCCACACAATTCAAGAGGAAAATAGAAATGACTAAAGCTTCCCGGAGATTACAGACTTTTGTTTAAGAGCTCGGAGGCACCTCAGAGTTCATTTAATGCAATCCCTTCATTTTGTTACAAAGGAAGCTAAGGCCAAAAAGAGGCCAAGGATAATGAAGGAACAAAGTCGATGGGTCGCAGTAGGCACCAAACCCCAGAAAAGAACGCAAAGATATAACTCCTATCAGGTTACCTCTGGTTCTCTGAGCCACCCCATAACCAGAGCAGAAAAAATTTAAGCACCAAATATGGTCTAGAAATCTACTTCTTAACAACCAATTGCCCTTACCTATATATAGTAAGTAAAAGAGGAAAAAAACCCAAACCTTTCTATTAGGCAACTTTTTATTTACAACCAGCTAATACCCAGGTATCAAAGGCAACAAAGATCCACTTACAGAAGTCTATCTTAGAAAGCAGGGCAATAGTTAATAATATGCTCAGTTATTCACATATGCATGCATACATTTTTAGAGCACTTAAATACCAGATATTGTGGCAGGTCCCGTAAAGGTTATGAAAATTATCCTACTTCCTCACATCCAAATATTGGGATCTCTGGTGAGCAACGCAGCACAGAAACTCCAATCAAAGACAGAAATAGTGAGAATGTAACTTGGCCAGGATGCAAGATAAACCCTAGCTTGGTTAACCAATCCTGTTACATGGTGTGGGTGGAGAGACGGTAGGTTCTGTTCTCCACAGGCCCATCCTGAATCTGTCTGCCCACAAGATAGCCAGGAGCAAGGCAGAAGGAAGAGCAAAATGCCTGGGCCCAAGTCACTTTACCATCTTGTCTCATCTCTGTACACACCGAACCAGAAACTGCTAGAGTGGCTGAACATGTGTTCATAACTATTAACAGACATTAACCTGGACTACTAGCAAACATGGCTCAACTAAAATCCTGAAGGAATCCAACCAGATCATCATTCCCTGCCCTTTGAGGAGAGTTAGAATGTACGAGAGCAAGTGAGCTAGCAAAGAGAACAAGCAAGAAAGAGGCATTGTTGTAAAGAGGCCAAGGGTTCTCTCCCTCTAAGTAACCTGAAGAGCTCACAGACTAAAAGTAAAGTACACAATACACATCATAAAGACATAGCAACATTTAAGTGCTATTAATAACAATTAAGTCTGACTAAAACTTAATCATATAATTTACTGTTCGTACAGGATCTTGGTAATCCATATTATTCCCTAATAATCAAGCTTCAAGTTAATGCTTCAAGAGAGCAAGGATCTCCATTTTTGTTTACCATTGCATACCAAGTGCTGGCACATGCGAATAAAAGTTCAATAAATCCATTAAATAAATAAATCTAGATATTTTAAAATGCAAGAATTTTCTTGATAAACATAAAGCCATTTTTACCACAAAAATTATATTTTGCTTACACATCAAATGTTTCATTGAGATAACAGTCTCCTCATGGGCAAGGAATGTACTCTGTATTTATACTATTAGGAATAAGAATGGTGTCTAATGTATAATAAATATCTACTACTATATATTAAAATAAAAGCCTTTCAGATGCAAAATGTTATTTATCTGAAACTGGAGTAAGATGAGAAGCTGACTCTTGAGGACATCTGTGATCAGTGATCCCTTAGTGATACTTCTCAGCGACAGCTACCGCAGACACGTGTACTGACTGCAGCTGAGGGAAGTGGGTTTTTGTCAAGAAGCTGGGCGACTGAAAGATACCTTTGGAGCCAAAGTCATCTTTTCCTATTTTGAAGGAAGTCAGTCCCATCTACCAGGGGAGGAGTAAGGAGCTTCTGATTGCTAGAGCACAGATTTGCGCTGTCAGTGGCTCTCTTGATTTTTAGAAACTTACACCTTTAAAGAAAGGAAAACATTACACTTTTTGACCCTAGATCTTGGTTCTCTCAAGAATCTGGTCCCTGGGTGCACAGGAAAGCGGCTGATGCCAAGTTTCTCTAATTCTTTTAATGTCTACCCACGAAAGAAGAAATGTAAGGAAAGTTAGAGTTTCCAAAGGGTGATGAAATTAATTCTTGGGCTTAGATAACAGTGACAATACCTCCAATTCTTATAGTTCTCTTCTACCAGCTCTGTGTTTGGGTTTCCTAGCAAAACTCATCTGAGCCAGTGTTTGTCCCGAGATTAAACATGCCCTGCTATTGTAGTGTTGTAGCTACGGATAATTCACACTGTTGGTTTAAATGTACTAGACTCAAATTCGTCTGTTTGCTTGCAAAACATAGATGGGCTCTGTTGAGTGACAAATTAAGCCAATGCTGCTGAGGCAATACTACCACAGGCACAGCCCATGTGAGCTGTGAGTCTGCTCCTAGGACTGAGGTAGGATGACGGTGCTGAAGCTGAGGCACGTGCAGCTGCGGAGGACAGAGTCCAGGCACTGCTACACTATAAAGCGGCGGGCAGGATGGGCTCCGTTCAGACCACAGTCAATTCTGCAGCCGTATTAAACACCTATGAAAACCCCTGTAGAATAAGGATAGCTTAGGGGCACCTGTCTCTATTCTTTGTAAGCATGCTCTCAACGTCCACAGGGCAAAGGCACTTAATCTGCCTCCCATGCTTCTCCTGCAGAGGAACTCTGCTCTTGCTTAGACAACTCCACTTCTCTTACTTGAGGAGTAAAGAAGGGGATTCTCTGTGATCTACAGGAGGAATCCATATTAGACACACATTTGGGTCCCTTTTTTTAAATCAAGTACACCACTTGTTCTGTTGCACACACAGGGAAAACCATACCAAAGGAGCTATCTCTGCCAGAATTTTCTACAAGTTCATAGTGCCCATATTAGCAAGTGTGATTACTGCTCTGCTGCGCAACTATTCACAAATATTGTTTCAGGAGACAGATACACAAATGGCATCTGTTATAAAAATCATTTTCTAGACCTCTGTTACCAACTAGATTGAGTGGAGTACTTTCTTTGCTCATACAGCTTTGTTTTTATCTTTTTTCAGATTACAAAAAAGCAATACATAGACTCAAAAAAGAAAACATGGAGAATACAGAAAACACAAGGAAAGAAATACAAATCAAACACAATCTCACCACTCAGAGATGGCAGAATCTATAAGAATGTTTTCCATTAATACGTATCAAGTCAGAAGTGGACTGAACCATTAAAATTTTTTTGAACCATTTTTAATTTGTTTGTGTAAGTCGATAGCTCAGAGTAGTCATTAGACAAGCATAATTTGATGTCTGAAAAAGATATCATCCCCTAGCTTCTGTCCATGTGCAAAGTAGCTTACCTTCAATCAGCTGAGACAGCTGTGTCCCAGTTACCAAAGTCTCAGTGACATCACTCTTTCGGGAGGCCTTTCGGTAGCGAATTTTGTAGCCAGTAATCTGACCATTTTGTGTGGCTGGAGGAGGTGGCTGCCAGTGAATCATAATGCTCTGGAAAATTCAAGATTACAGTGAAAAGACTGAACATATCAAAAGCTTGGTCCTCACTTTTATGTACTGCTGCCTGGATTTCACTGTGTAAAGGGAAGGAACATAGAGGCAGCAAGGTGACCTGATAGAGTTTTACAAAGTTATTTAACAATCACTCAAAAGTATTTCTTCATTTTAAAATCCTCAATGATCAAATGGGAAGATTATATATTTGAGAAGCATACTGTGGACCCCTGATCTCCTAAGTGTTCTGTCTGAATGAAGACACTGGGCAAAAGTCTCAGAAAAGTTTTCAGAAGGAAAATCTAACGTCAGAGGATTAGGAAGTATATTATTGTTAGATATAAAGATTCTTTTCCATCTCCTGCATGGAAGAGCTGAAATTAAACGATTTATATCTAAAACTCTTCAAAAAGGGGATCATTAATTAATAATTGGTGTTTCTTAAAGAATAAAAGGAGTCTTACACTACTTCTTGAGAGGACCATGTATCTCAGTTGTCTATGTGTTCCAGAGGGGGCTCTCGGCCGCTGAGAGGCACACCTGGCCCTTGGTCTGCAGTGAACCTGCTGGGGGGGCAGTGTGAGTAGAGACAACCCATCTGACAGGTGTCTGCCTTTAACTCACACGGAGCGCATCTCACAGCACCAAGGGACAAGGGACCATGTCGTCATAAACAACTTATTTCCTTCTGCCACACCACTAAGGTTCTGGATGGTTAAGACCTATAATGTCATGTTTTACATAAAAATAGCAATTTATTTACAGAAAGACTAAACTCGTTTTGGCATCAGAGAAAGGAAGTAAAGTTAAACAGAATAAAGGAGTTGGTTTCTAAGCCAAGTTTTACTAGTAGGTATAATAACTATGTCTTCTTATTTCTTTGCTTGTCTATGATTAAGTTCTAACTTATAGGTTTACTATTTTTAAAAGCAAATAGATTTTTTCAACACTGACATTCATTTGTTTTGACGCTTTCCCACAGAATCTCCCACTCTATAAGCTCCTCTGAGGCTCAATAGTACACCAGTAAAAATGAATGGCAGCATTATAAAGTTTTACCTTCGAATTTCTCACTTCTAAGGACAGGTTCTGAGGAGCAGCACTGGGAACTAGACAAGACAAAAAAGTTTTTTTTAATCACCCACACATCACCCATCATGTGACTGCTCTTGGCTAAACTTTACACAGATGTACATCTCAAATGCCAATTATGCAACCAGATCTAAACCTAGCTGCCAATGCCATCATGCTGATAGTACCATGTGGATAAGGTATGGCCATGTTTGATCCATTTTTTTTTTGACTGCAAAAGGATTTATTACTTGCTCATTAGAGTCATTCACTTTCTCACCACCTATAATACTTTTTTTTAATTCAGGATATTATGGGGGTACAAACATTTTGGTTACATGAAATACGTTTGCCTTGCTCAAGCCAGGGCTACAAGCACGTTCTTCCCCGATACAGTGTCCCGTTTCTATTAGCCATGGGTTTACCACCCCCTGACCCCAACCCCTCCACCCACCCGCACCTGACCAGCACCCAGTGAGTATTACTATCACGTTAGCACCTTAGTGTTGATTAATTACCAGTTTGATGGCGGGTACATGTGGTGATGTTTTTCCATCCTTGTGATACCTCACTTCAAAGGATAGGCTCAATGTCTATCCAGGATAATATAAGAGGTGCTAGATCACAATTGTTTTTTGTAGTTGAGTAGTATTCCACGGTGTACATATACCACATTTTATTAATCCACTCATGTATTGATGGGCATTTGGGTTGTTTCCACATCTTCGCAACTGTAAATTGTGCTGCTATAAACATTTGAGTGCAGATGTCTTTATTACAGAATGTCTTTCTTTCCTTTGGGTAGATGCCTAGTAGTGGGATTGCTAGATCAAATGGTATTTCTATTTTTAGCTCTTTGAAGTATCTCCAAATTACTTTCCATAGGGGTTACACTAATTTGCCGTCCCACCAGCAGTGTTAAGAGTGTTCCAATCTCTCCACATCCACGCCAGCATTTGTTATTTTGGGACTTTTTGATAGAGGCCATTCTCACTGGAGTTAGGTGATACCTCATTGTGGTTTTGATTTGCATTTCCCTAATGATTAGAGTACCCAAACCGCATAGTACTGGCACAAGAACAGAGATATAGACCTTTGGAATAGGACGGAGATCCCAGATATAAAACCATCCTCATATTGTCATGTAATCTTTGACAAAGCGGACAAAAGTATACATTGGGGAAAAGAATCTCTATTCAATAAGTGATGCTGGGAAAACTGGATATCCACATGCAGAAAATTGAAACAGGATCCCCACCTCTCACCTCCTCACCAAAATCAACTCACGTTGGATAACAGACTTAAACCTAAGGTGCGAAACCTTAAGAATTCTGGAAGAAAATGTTGGGAAGACTCTTTTAGACATTGGCCTAGGTAAAGGATTTATGAAGAAGACTCCCAAGGCAATCATAGCAGCAACAAAAATAAACAAATGGGACCTGATCAAATTAAAAAGCTTCTGCACAGCCAAGGAAACTATCATTAGAGCGAATAGACAACCTACAGAATGGGGGAAAATATTTTCTTTCTACATATCCGATAAAGGGCTGATAAAAAGAATCTATATAGAACTTAAGAAAATCAACAACAAAAAAATGAAACAACCCCATCAATAAATGGGCAAAGGACATGAACAGAAACTTTTCAAAAGAAGACAGACTAATGGCCAGCAAACATATTAAAAAAGTTTGATTCATTTTTTAAAATAAGACACTTTCATATAGGTATGCACCCATATCTAAGTCAGGTCGTACCCTTGGGAAGTCAGATACTTATTTCAAGGATGAACAGTGGCTCTGAACTCTTCTATGCTCTAAACTTTTCTAGATCCCAGACATAGTCTGAATCTTAAACGTATTCTTTTGAGTATTCCTGGTGATAGCCTATCTTTATCTTGGGGAAGAGCCACACATTTTTGGGAACCAAGTCTAATGAATATGGTAAGTGACTGAACTGGGTAATGACATTATGGATCAAAATGAGATGTACATAAATCAGTGAGCTTGGCTTTCTTGTGGGGTTCCTAAATTGGTTTTGAAAGCAGTTCCCAAGTAGAGCAAAGAGATATCTATGCAATGACAGTTTCAGTAAAGTGAACCATCTGGCTTCCCGAGGCAACTGTATACCAGGGAATACTCATTTAGATGTGAGAAGTTTGGGACTGTTGGTTAAATAAACAGCTACATAACTTTAGTTTCTCACAAATGAGAATATAACATGGGTAGACTCAAAGGTGTATTGTGGCCCACACACCTTCCAACACCTCCCTTCACAGTGATGATAGCAGGCAAAGAAAACTTGAGTAGACCTGATTAGTTTTCTTTCCACTCACAAAATGCTGACTCTAGCCCTTCTCTCCCAATCCACCCATGGAAACTTCTCTCTTCCTTTCTCTAACATTTGGTGACTAAGTATATAACTAAGTGCTCACTAAGCTAAAGCTTCCAGTCAGAGAATGTGTCTTGCTCATTGTTGTAACTTGTACCTAGCAAAGTGCCTCAGGCCTCAACCCAGAGATTCAGGTACAGAGGGTTCTGGAGGAGGACCTAAGCACCTGTGTTTTGAAAAAAATACATGAATGATTCCAATCATCTCCATATTAAGCACTGACTTAATTGCAGAGGCACCCAACATAGCTGTCATTGTTGTTTTCATCATCATCATTGTCACAGCAAAGATGTGCTGCATGCTCACGACATGGCAGGTACTTATCCTTACGACAATCTCACAAGGGAGTTTCTATTATTATTCTTATTATACAGAGGAGAAAACTATCAATGAGGTTCAGGGCAGTTAACTTACCCAAGGTATTTGTTTCAGCTGGCACAGAACTAAGACGTGCCTTATTCCAAAGTGCTGCCCTTAACCTCCGTGCTAAGACGCATCCAGTTCCCATAGGTGGTCAACATGCCTACCCACTTAATGCAGTTAAAATTTGGGTCATGGGTAGATTTAAAAGCCTACATTAAACATTTTTTCCCCTCAACTTTTCCTAAAAATCTTTACCAACTTGCTTACGTAGTTTGCTAGCCAAACTATAACTGGTTATAGTTTGTATTTGTTTCTTTTTCCCTACCTTTTATCCTGAAAAATGTTAAGTCCACAGAAAACAATGAACGCCATATATTCTTTTCCTAGATTCACCAATTGTTAATAATCTGTAACATCTGCTTTATTTCTCACTATATCTGGTACATACACAGATTTGCCTACTTACATATTATTTCTAAATCATCTGAGAGATGACTGCAGTCATCACACTTCACTCCTAAACACCTCATTACATGCCATGTATCTCCTACGAACAAGAACATTCTCCAGGAAAACTACAATACAATGATCATATTCAGAAAATTTTAACACAAAATAGCATCTACTATACCTAATAACATATCTAATATTTAATATTACCTAATGTTATATATATCTAACATTAAGTAATTGTATCAATAGTGTCTTTTATAGCTGTTTTTACCTCCAGATCCAGGATCCAGGCAAAGATCATACATGATTTATTTCACGTGTCTTTACTCTTCTTTAATCTATTATTATAGATTCTAGAATGATTCTCCAGGATTTTTTTCCTTTCATAAAATTAATATATTTTAAGAATCCAGGTCAGTTTAAAAAATTTTTTTTTAAATTTTTTGCAGAACTTCCCTCAATTTGGATATTTGATCGTTTCATCATGATCAGATTCAAGTTAAACATTTTTGGCAGGGATATAAGAGGTGATGTGTGTTTCTCCTTGCACTGCACCAGGAGGCACAGGTCAGTCTATTCCTTTATGGGTGATGTTAAGTTTGACCATTTGCTTACGGGAGTTAAACTATACCTTCTAAAGCATGCATGTTTATATATGTCAGGGCTGTATACATATATATACATTTAAAAAAAACATTTTTGTAAAACACTGGATTTAGCTGAGTTTCATGAAACAATACACACCATTACTAAGTACAACAAACTTTTCTGTTATAGTCTAAAAATATTTTTTTAAAAAATCCTGGTCTTGACCTTCTTAATCTCTTTGGCAGATTGTAGTTTGAAAAACACTGCTCTGGGCCAGGCGCGGTGGCTCACGCCTATAATCCTAGCACTCTGAGAGGCCGAGGCGGGTGGATTGTTTTGAGCTCAGGAGTTCGAAACCAGCCTGAGCAAGAGCGAGACCCCATCTCTACTAAAAAAATACAGAAAGAAATTAGCTGGACAACTAAAAATATATACAGAAAAAGTTAGCCGGGCATGGTGGTGCATGCCTGTAGTCCCAGCTACTCGGGAGGCTGAGGCAGTAGGATTGCTTGAGCCCAGGAGTTTTGAGTTTTCTGTGAGCTAGGCTGACGCCACGGCACTCTACCCTGGGCAACAGAGTGAGACTCTGTCTCAAAAAAAAAAACAAACAAAAAAAAAAACGAAAACCACTGCTCTGGGTCATGAGTACATGTAAATAGCTTAGTTTAGAAATTTAGTCATAGATAAGAAATGAAACTACCACAAAATACGGAGAATTAAAAAGACCGATTTAGCACACAAATAAGATTGCTAAGTAGAACAAGGCTGGTCTTCCAACAGCCCTGGAATAGTGTGTGTTATGAACAAACAATAGTATTTACTTACACAGAAGCCTCTGCTAAAAATACAAACACTGACAGCCTATTCAGTATGAGGCACTTTATATTCTATGCTTTCTCACTGACTCTTCACAGCAACCCAATGAAGTTGGTACTATCTACATTTTACATGTAAGGAGACATGCTCAGAAATGTTAAGTGACTCGATCAAAGCCACATTATCAGAAAGGAATAGAACTGGGACTTGAACTGAATCTTCCTGACATCAATTATACCACTGGGGGTATGAAGCATGGTATTTTGTTTGAAAGAAGGAAGACTTACCATCTGATAACGTTTGAACAGCAACATCTTGTGTGGAGACTCCAGGACCATGTTTATTGTAGGCCACCACTCGGAAACTATACTCAGTATACTTTTTCAACCCATTAACAGTATAGGAGTGACTTGAAACATCAATATCCTTAAACAAAATAAAACACTGTGTATATATACAACTCAAGCCAAAAAAAATGCTGCAAAGTAAAGTATTAACTGTACAAATTCTATATTCTACACAATACAGATTTTTATCCTTTCTTACGGGATGTTATTTAATAGTCTATGCAGATTAATCATAAACAGTGACAATTTACTCAGAAATACTGCTTAATGTTTAGTGACCCTTACTGGTAAAAACTACAGAATAAATCTTGGTACAAAGAAATAGAATCTAACTTTTCATTTCCTTATATCTTGTTTTTCCCTCAGATTTCCAGGCAATCATCTGCTGAGTTTTGGAGATATATTTCAACTCTACTATTCCAATCAATGGTTTGAAAAATTGCTTTATTTCATACCTGTTCTTTATCAGTCCCTTTTTCCATGTAGTACAATTTGTAATTTTGAATTTCCCCGTTGCCAGACAATGGTGTTCCCCATGTGACAGTGATTGAAGTAGGTGAAGTTGCATATGCTCGAATGTTAGGTGCTGGGCCAGGGAGCTGAACTAGAAGGAAAATTTCAAGAAAGCAAGATATAAATGAAACTTACTGCACTCCTCAATAACCATTCTTGGCAATACTGTCATATTGGCCATGTTTTAAAAATAATAAAAGGTAAGAAAACAATTATTTTGTTAAGTGGTTTTAGGATAATGATAATATATTAACACATTTTCTGTTTTATGATTCAAATCAAAACCAGAAATTATCTGTGAAGTATCTCCAATTTATTCAAAATAAGAAAAAAAATGTACACTGCAGAACTCTTCTTGTGGTTTATAAAACCCTAGTATTGCAGCAGGACCATGCAGCACATAAAAGCAACCACCACAAAAAGAGACCTGTCTTTTGCCAGACGGTGAGGTAGGCAACAGGAATACAGTGATGGACAGAGTCCCTGCCCACAAAAACTTCCTCTCTGGTAAGGAAGTCAGACATATAAACAGTTACAAAAAATGTCGTAAGTGCTAACAGATTTAGGTAATGGGTGTAACAACAACAGAAGAATACACAATTCTGCTTTGGGAGGGGTAGGGCAAGGAAGGGAAGGATCGGTGAAGACGTCTTAGGGTCAAGACGAACAAATACTTTTCTCAGATACCAAGGGGGAAATTATTCCTTTCAATAGAGTCGATAAGGAGGATATGTGAGAAGACAGTGCTGAGTGGTTTAGCTTGGTTGGAATGCAGCATAGATGTGGGAGAGGTAATGTTGACAGGGAGACGAGTCAGACAGTGAAGAACCTCGAATGCCCTGCTATGGAGTCTGCATTTTCTCTAGGAGGTGTTAGGCAGTTACTGAAAAATTATGAGGAGCATGACACGATCAGGTCTATGTTTAGAAAGGACATGTGAACACATGCATAGATGAAAAACAGTAAAGGAATGATATTAGATAGAGGAATAGTAATCAATTTTTAAAATAGCTACCATTTACTGAATGGTTATAATCAGTCAAGCATTAAGTCCTTTACATGTGTCTTCTCATTTATGAGACGGATACTATTATCATCCCCACTTACAGATGAGGTTCTGATGTTTTCAACCTTTCCCAAGTGATGGGAAAGCTAGCTAGTGGTGGAGCCAAGAGTTGAGCACTTTCTGACTCTAAAACATGGGCTCGAGACCAGTAAAGAGATTATTACGATACCCTCAGCAGGACATATGTGATTTGGAAGACTGGGTCACTGGTTCACTAACCAACTGTCTATCTGGCTTTAACTCCTACAATGGCTCACAACCTACTCTTTTACTACACTCATCTTGTCTGACTGACGGGTTCCAGTCCCAATTTATACACAAATTCTGGGTAGCTGCCTATGCCTACACTTTGTAGACATTCTATATTTGAAAACAATTTCTCTGGCAGTAGTGTTTCTGTGACAGACATCCATTAGATTTAAGAGCTGAGAAGGGGAAAAAACTAACAAAATGTAAAACAAACCGGCTTTCTTGAATAATAGCACCACAGCTTGGAAGATTAGTTTTGCTACCAAAGTAGTGAAAATGGTTACTCTAACAGTTGTTTGATTTAGTTATGAATCATGTTATTCACTTAATGTTAAGAGCATATTTTATGCAGCCTGACAGGTGGGATTTGTCGCACTTCTGCTGCTATGGAAAACTTTCCTCTAGCTTATTAAAGGGGAAGAAAAACAAAACAGTCCCTAAATTCTCTCGAAATCACTTTCAATATATTCATTGGCTAAGCACAGGCAAATATGATCCTAAAAAAGGCGCTAATGAATTCTTTCATTTCAGCTGTACAGTGGCATAATAAATGGAAAAATTTTTAAGTTGGTTTCTGAAGCTAAATATGTAAAATATTTTCCAAGGGCTGACTCCAACATTTATGCCTCCCACACACAAGCTGAATACCTCCAGATGAAATGCAAATCTTTCTAACTGCTTCTCCTTTGCCAAAACATGTTACAGTCTCTCTCCATCCCTAAAATACCCTCGACAGAACCTGATGCCCCTTACTCTCACATTCTTATTTAACTACTTTCTTTTAGCCAAATGACTATGCTGCCTACTTTCCGTAAGATGATAATGCATCATGCTGTTGTCTATTTACTTGTCTGCCTGGTACCAGACTATCAACCCCCCGCAGACAGACAGGTCGTACTCATCTTTACATGCTGACTGTCTAACAGGGTAACTGGCACCTGGTAGGCACTCAGTAAATCCACTCTTTACATCTTTTCTTTCATCTCTAAATTTGACAATGACCCCCCTAGTTCAGTGGTTCTCAACAATTTGATTCACAATCTCTGAAATGATAATGAAAGCTACAGATTCTTTCTGAGGGAAATGTGAATATGAACAAGCATAAAAATATTTTCAGAAGTTCACAGCCTCAGGATAGAACCCTTGCACTGGATCCAATCCAGTGGTCTGGTCTGTTCCCTCATTCTCCTCATGACTGATCTTGCATGTGCACTGTTTGATTCTATTTCTGGGATCTGGGTCATGCAAATTCCTTCCCCAAGAATGCTTGCATTAAGTCAAGGCCAGCTTCAGGTCTCATCTTTTCCTAGGATCCTTACTTGACTTACCTATCTCTTGCAGTAATTTTTCCTTGTTCTGTATTCTAGTACCTCTCATGAATGATGCCTGTACATAAAAGCTAACGGAGGGTAACTGAGCTTGAAACCTAATGGAATATTCCTGCTCTTGTCTGAACACAAATAACTTTGAAATTCAGTATCTTTTCCCTGTAATGAGAACATAACTCTTTCCTTAAATCAAACCCCT